GGGGGAGGGGGGGAGAGAGAGAGAGAGAGAGAAACATCGATGTGAGAGAGACCCACCAATTGGTTGCCTCTGGCATGCGCTCATCGGGAATCAAGCCTGCAACCGAGGTACTTGCCTTGGCTGGAATCAAACCTGGGACTCCTCAGTCCGAGGGCTGACGCTCCAACCACTGAGCCAAACCAGCTAGGGTTCCTATATTGAAGTATCATGTAAGCATAAATCATCATGTATAAGTCAATAAATTTTCAAAAAGTGAATACACCCATCTTATCAGCACCCAGATCAAGGCACAAAGTATTTCCAGTTCCCCCAAGCCCCCTCGTGCCCCTTCCAGTTCCTGCCCCCTCCCCAAGGATAAGCATTCTAAGCTAACTTCTAACAGCTTAGATTAGTTTTGCCCGTCTTTGAATTTTAGACAGACATGCTCTTTCATATCTATCTGGCTTCTGCCACTCAACAGTCTCTCTGAGGTTCATCCACATTGCTGTGAGGCTGCAGTTTACTCATTCTCGATTCTGTGTAGTTTCTACTGGATGAACAGACCACGATTTAATTGTCCATTCTGCTGTTAGTGGACATAGGGTTGTTACCTACCAGTTTTTGACTATGATAAATAATGGTGCTGTGATATTCTATTACTTGTCTTTTGGTGACCAAATGTTCGTTTTAACGCTGGGTGTATACCTAGCATTGGAGATTCTGGGTCGTAGTATATGTGTATGTTCATCTTCAGTAGATGTTGCCAGTTTTCTAAAGTTTTACCAATTTACACTTCCACCAGAAACATGAGAGTTCTGGTACTTGCCGATATTTGGTATTTTTCATCTTTTAAATCATAACCATTCTGGTAGATGTGGGGTGGTATCTCATTGTGGTTTTAATTTGCATTTCCCTGATGACTAACGAAGTTGAGCACCTCTTTGCATGTTTATTGCCTTTTGGACAGCCTCTTTTATGAAATGCCTGTTCATGTCTTTTATTCATCTTTAAAAATGGGATTGTCTGCCTTTTCATCCTCTTTTGCAAGAGCTCTTTGTTTAATACATGGATCCCTGTTAAATCTCTAGCTTCCCTCATATTGTTTCTGTAAGGACCCCAGCGTGCCACAGACAGCCTGTTTGAGAACTCAATAGGAAGTCACACTTTGGCTTCTCTGTTTAACAGGTGATTTACATAAAAGAATGTCACTTTTTATTTCTGGCTGGTCATGGGCATCTAAATACACATCCTTCAATGATGCTGATGATGACAGAGATGCTATTGCTGTTAATGACAGCTGGCACTACATAGCACTTTCCACTGGCCAGACAGAGTTCTAAGCACTTACGTACAAACTCATTTAATTCTTCCAATGAACCTATGAAGCAGGTATCATCAGGTCCATTTTATAAGTGAGGGTACTGAGGCTCTGGGAGCTTAAGTAAAAGTCACATAGCTAACCTGGCTCCAGAGTCTATGCTCCTAACTGTGTGTGATCAGATGCAGCTGTGATCCATCATGATGATGGGGTTCAGGCCTAGGGAGTGCTGGGGTTACTATGACAGCAGCTGCCATTTCCCAAGTCCTATGCTAAATATTCCTGGTAAACAACTCATGTGTTCCTTCCTGCAGCCCTGGGGGCTAAGCACTATTACCAGCCCCGTTTTACAGGTGAGAAAACAAAAGGCTAGAGAAGTTAAGTGACATGCCCGAGATCATACAGCTACATTTAGTAAAGCCAGAACTCACACCCTGGACTGCCTGATTCTTGACTGAAATCATAACTCTGCCTATTGATTCAGTGGCTACATTTGGTCTACACACATTTAGTTTGGCCTACAAGATGTGGGATGTGTTTTTGTTTGGGGTTTCTTTGGCTTGGTAATTTGGCTGCTTTTGGAACCTGGGCCTGAGTTTCATCATGGTGACTGTCAGCCGGAGTAAGTAGCCGATGCCCCTTTAGACTGGTTGGCATAGCTCCCACTCAGCATGGCTTCGCTCATTGCTTGCCCAGCCTATTGTGCTTTTCAGTGTAGTGAGATGTGAGAATATACTCCACCCTTTCCACACATATAACCTGGGGGAAAGGCATCAGAATTACTTAAGGGGCAACTGGCCATGGTGAGCCACAGTTCCCTATAGGAGTTTGTTGTTTCTCTATGTTGTGTTAGGGTGCAATAAAGATTGAGAACTTTCATATCCCTGTTTCTCAAAAGTGTCATCTGTGCTACACTAAACTAGAAAGACTGGAATTAGGGTCAGAACTGGGATCAAATCTTCTCTCTGCTTCTTACTTAGATGAGCAAGTTGATTGTGCTCTCATTGCCTTGGTTTCCTTCTGCGTAAAGCAGAGCCTGCAGTCCCTGCCCTACACACTTACCAAGGTAAAATGGGCCCCAAGGAGAGCATGGCTGAGAAAGTACTTTGTAAACCAGGAAGATTACTTGTCCAGCATAGTTGAAGTCTTCAACCAAGCTGAGATTCCCTGACATCTGAGAAGCTTGGCTGGACCCTCTGCATGGAAAAGAGAAGAGTCTACATTCCGAGGGCCTGGGCTTGTCCTTTTGGCCATATGATTGTATTAGGAAGGAGAGAGCCCCAGGCGCTGGGCAGGGACTGCCAAGCAGGGAGCTTCCTTGTGGCATGGATACAATTCACAGTGTTGCTGGGACCACCCTGCCACTGTAGCCCTTTCCTTGTCTACTTGACACCCTTTCCTCTGTGGAGGTGGACTATCCTGGGTCATGTCTACCCTCTAACCTGCCCGCCTCATGGCACCTGCTAGAGGTTTCAGGGCTCACTTGGGACTATGAAAGGACCATCTCATAAAGCCAACTAATCTATGAGACTCAGTGAATCTAACCTACAAGGTCTTAGGTGTTTCAGAGGTGTGATTTGTTCATTCACTGAACAGTTCACTTAGCACTTGCTCCGTGCTAGGCCCTGTGCTAGGTGCTTGAGGTGAGCAGACATTCCAAAAACAGATAGGACTGTTTATGACCAAAGGAGCCCCACTGCCTGAGCTCAGGGTGCTTGAGGGATGCAGTGGACAGTGAGCCTAGAATGGATAGCTGAGCCTCCCACACCAGGATGGGGACTTTGGGCTTTATCTTGTAGGTAGTAGAGAGCCATCGAAGATGTTTGACAATGCTCAGGGAAGTACCATTAGCTCATAGGAGGAGGAGCAGGAGGGTGAGAATGAATTTAGTCTGGGTTGTGTTGGGTGTGAGGGTCTGTGGAATATTCAGTGGTTGCCACCTGGTAAGCAGCTGTGAGAGCCTCTATTCAGGAAAGTTCCAGGCTAGGATCAGAGATCTGAGTTGTCAATAATTGGGTAAGAGTTAGAGGAGCGACTGTAAATAGAACTGTACAGAGGGATTGGGGAGTATGAAAATTGGAGTGGTTCAGCCCCCTCAGGTTACAGATGAGCAATTAGGGGTCAGAGGAAAGTCAGTAGCTTAAGGCCTCAGTAGTGTTACTCATCCATTCATTCAACAGATATTTACTGAATACCTGCTATGTGCTAGAACTTTTTTAAAGGCTGGGATATAGCAGTGAGCAAAACACTCATGGAGCTTACATTCCAGTAAGTGGGTTCAGAAAACAACTAAGTAAATACTATGTCAAATGGTGGTCAGTGCTATGGGTGAAAGTAAAGCAGGGGAAGGAAACCAAGGAGCACTTCTCAGTGATTGCTATTTTATGTGGAATAGTCCAGGCCTCACTGATAAGGTGACATGTGAGCTGAGACCTAAAAGAAACAGAGAATGAGCCAGAGAATGTTGCCTGAGGAAAGAGTGTTCCAGAAAGAGGGAACAGCAAAGCAAAGGCAAGAGGCAGGAGTATGTTTGGCACGTGGAAGGATGAGCAAAGAAGCTGGTGTGGCTAGAAACCCAGAGAGTGCAAGAGATGTGGGTGAGGGAGCAGAGGAGAGATCAGGTGGGGCCACATAGGCCTTTGTAAGGCCTTTTCCTTTTAAGGTGGGAAGGCTTAAAAGGTTTCTGGCTGGGATGACATGATCTGACTTACACTGAACAGAATTCCTCTGGCTGTTGTGCTTAGAACAGACTGTAGGAGGTGAGGCCAGTTACGAGGTGGTTGCCGTACCCAGGGGTTGGATGATAGTGGCTGGAATCAGAGTGCCGCCAATAGAGGGGCTGAGAACTGGGGGGGCTCTGGATGTATTTTAATGGTAGCACCCATGAAGCTTGCTGATAGATTGGTTGAGGAACGTGAGAAAACAAGAATGTCTCTTAAGATTTTGACCCAAGCAATTGGAAGGGTGGAGTTGCCATTAGGTAAGATTATGTGATGAGCAGATCTGAGAGGAGAAATGAGGATTGAGTGTGGATAGGTGAAGTTAGAGCTGCCCTGTAATCACTGACGTAGAGATTTCAAATGGGCAGTACCAGCAGCATTAAAGGCCTCATTTCGGCCCCTTCCCCTCCTTTCAGATTGTGCTTCCTTCTGTCCCTCTCTCTGGGCCCATCTTCCTAACTCTCTCATCCTTGGCAGTTGATCTGAGCCATAGCAGTCTGCCCACACTGAAAACTGACCAGCCCTCTGCCCCTAGGTTGTACATAGGGACCTCAAACCCAGCAATATCCTCTATGTGGACGAGTCTGGGAACCCCGAGTGCCTGCGCATCTGTGACTTTGGCTTCGCCAAGCAGCTGCGGGCTGAGAATGGGCTCCTCATGACACCTTGCTACACTGCCAACTTCGTGGCACCTGAGGTGAGTGTCCCAGCCTCCTCAGCTGCGAGTGAGGACGTGCAGTCTGTGTGGCCTTGGCCTGGGTACCAAGGGAGGATCCAGCCCATGGCTAGAACCCATGTCCTACCCTTTGGGGAGTAACAGGCAAGCATATGGGAACACTCGCCCCTGCCCCTCAGACTGACCACACTCCCCTGCCTTCCTTCCTGCCAGGTGCTGAAGCGCCAGGGCTACGATGAAGGCTGTGACATCTGGAGCCTGGGCATTCTGCTGTATACCATGCTGGCGGGGTGAGTGCCCCATTGGCCTGGGCGCCCTCCCAATATCCCTGCCCCTCTGCCAGCCCTAGTGTACAGACTAGGGTGGTACTTGTCTGATGGCAGAAACTCAGCCCTGCCTTAGGAGGGTCTGAAGATAGGGACATGGCCCTATCTTCTGAACGCTTCACCTTGAGGAGGAAGATGCCCCCTTGGGAACACCCAGTCTGAAGGGGGAGACACAGCGGCCCACCCCTGGCCCCAGGATGGAGTCCAGAGGCTATACCCAGATTGAATGGACTTTTCTCCAGATACACTCCATTTGCCAACGGACCCAATGACACACCAGAGGAAATCCTGACCCGGATAGGCAGTGGGAAGTTCACCCTCAGTGGAGGAAATTGGAACACAGTTTCAGAGACAGCCAAGGTGAGTCTGTGAGGCCTGGACCCAACTCATTTGGGGTGGGGAGGCAGGGTACCATTCCAGGGCTTTTCAGCAGGTCATGAACAGGTGACCTAAAGCCTCGTTTCTCTTAAGTGGAAGATTCCCAGGCAGCCTGCCCCCACCCCCACCCACAAACCTTGTTTGGGCAACTGGGTAATCATTCACTGGCCCTTCCTGTGTTCTGGGCCTGCAGGGGACAGAGAGCTGTGATTATGCCTTATGGGAACTTACTGTGGGGGGAGATACAGGCTTGCATATAAGGAATAGAGATGCCATGCAGCAGAAAGAGGTGGGTCTTCCTGGCCAGGGGTATGGGTCATGGAGGCATGGAGCAGAGCTACTGACCATGCCAAGCAGAGAGGCCTTCTCAGAGCAGGAAACATTTGTACTTCCAATATGAGCAAGTTTCCAGTTATGGGAGCCTCTGTGCTGGACACTGGGTTGAGCCCTTAATGAACAGTACCACCTCACAGCCTTACAAGGCAGGTATTATTGTTATTTCTGTTTCTCAGAGGGGAAACTGAGGCCCAAAGAGTTGAAGTAAATTGCCTAGGATACTCAGTTGATGAGCAGAAGAGTCAAGTTTTAAACCTGAGTCTGCCTAACCCCAACCTTAGGTTCTTCCCACCTTCCTGCATGGCTTCTAGGAGGTGAAAGAGAAAGGAAAAGGTGTTTTAGGAAGAAATCGCAAAGAAGGGCCTGTGCTCAGAGACGCCCTGGAACAGTATGGGGAATAGATCGCAGGGAGAATTACTGCTAGGTTTAGGTAGGAGGTGATGGGAAATGGTTGCCTTGCCCATTCCCCATCAGTGGGACATAGCTGTCTGCTCCCCCGCTGGCCCCTCCCACCAACCCTCTTGTCTGCTGTGTCCCCAGGACCTGGTATCCAAGATGCTGCACGTGGACCCCCACCAGCGCCTCACAGCTAAGCAGGTCCTGCAGCACCCATGGATTACTCAGAAAGACAAGCTTCCTCAGAGCCAGCTATCCCACCAGGACCTACAACTAGTGAAGGTATAGCCATCCCAGGCTGCTAGGCATCTGGGGGCCCGGGCCAGGTTTCCATAGCAAGGACTTGGGGTGGCAGAGCCAGGAGATGTCATGTCTGTCTCTCCTGAAGCCCAGGTCTAACATGCAGAGGTGTCAACAGTACACTCACAAGCCTCCAGGCTTCTAGGGGACACAGCTCCTTACCTCTGAAGCCTTCATTTTGATGTAGGAGGCAGGACTAAATACCATGAAGGACCACCAAGGTTGGATTAACGGGGCTGGGTGGGCTATGGAACACTGGTAGGAGCTGGCCTGGCCCTGGAACACCTGTCCCCCCTCCCACCTGTATGTCCCATTATCGTGAACTGACCTGCTACTTTCTCTCCCAGGGAGCCATGGCAGCTACATACTCTGCACTCAACAGCTCCAAGCCCACCCCTCAGCTGAAGCCCATCGAGTCATCTATCCTCGCACAGCGGCGGGTGAGGAAGCTGCCGTCCACCACCCTGTGAGGGGCCAGGGCATCCAGGCTGCAGGGCGGTGCGAGCTCAGTGGAGGCGGCATACTTCCCGGAGAGAGCGGCCTGAGTCACAGGGCCAGAGGAAGCAGAGCCCTGAGGGGCCCAGGAAGCAGCCGGCCCAGACCACCCCAGCGAGGGTGTGAGAAGTGCCTTCTCCTTCCCAAGGACAGACTCTTCTCGGCTCAGGCTCTGCTGGTTGAAATCGATTCACTGTACAAACTCTTTATCTTTTTTTAAGGAAAAATGACATCAACCACCATGGATTTTTATAAGATCCATTTGCCTTTCTCAGAGTGGAAATAGCCAGTGCAGCCCCAGGAGGAACACTGAGTCACACTAGGGCTCACTGCGGTTGAGACTCCTTAGAGCAATTTTGCGGTCCTGCCCTGGAGACCCCACAATTGGCCTTCTGTAGCCATCTGTACCCACCTCCGAGGCAGTCCAGCATCAACTTCCAGAGCCCTTGGCTATTTATCAGAACTTGCTCTATCCTTGGTCAGCTCATTTTCCATACTGTTCTGCTGGGGGGTCTGGAACCACTTCCTGCTAGAGAAGACCAAGGCCCTGTGGCTCCCAGTTCCAGGCACCAGCATCCACATCAGCCCTTCCAGTGGGTCCCCTGCAGTTAGGTTGGGTTGCTCCCAGAGGAGGATCCAGAATGCACTTTTTGACTGAATTCTAGTGGAATCTGCCACAGGACAGAGTACACAGGAGGCCTGTGGGGTGGGCCAGGGGGGCAGGGGCTTTTTTTCATTTCTTCCTCAGCTGGTAACTCAGGGTTCATCTGTCCATGGCCTTTCTAATAAACTTACAGTTGAATTGAAACACGCTTGCCTCTACTTTTCATCCCTGAATTTGCCCTCTCTGCTGTCAGATGGTGAGGACTTTGGCAGGGACAGACAAGTAATGGACCAGAGCTGATTAGCCCAGCTGCTTGGAGCTCAGGTCATCTGGGGAGCATGTGGGAGTCCCGCCAGTCCTGCCCTCACATTCCTGCCAGGGGATTCCATTATGTATTGATAACAGTATTATTAGCTACCAGTGACCAAGTGCCAGGCACTGTACCTGGGCCTTACATGTATATCTCATTTAATCTCTTTTTAAAAAATGTTTTTATTGATTTCAGAGAGAGGAAGGGAGAGGGGGAGAGACAGAGAAAAACATCGATGTGAAAACAAAATATCGATCGGCTGCCATCTGCACACCCCCTACTGGGGATCAAGCCCAGAACCCGGGCATATGCCCTGACCTGGAATCGAACTGTGACCTCCTGGTTCATGGGTTGATGTTCAACCACTGGAGCCACACTGGCCGGGCTATCTCATTTAATCTTAAAGCCAGGAGGTAGGTGCTATTATTATCCTGTTTTAGAGGGGGGAAAACTGAGGCTCAAAGAGGGAATGACATTGCCTTGCACGATAAAATTTTTCTGAGTACCTGTTCTGGCCCTGCTTCAGATGCTGGTGAAACAAGTAGAAAACAAAGTCATTGCTTTCATGGGTCTTACCTCCTAGTGGAGAAACTTACCTCCTAGTGGGAAAATGGAGAATTAATAAACTAAGATCAACTACTATTAAGACATATGTAGCGTTAAATAGGCTGAGAGATGGGGTGATCAGGAAAGGCCTCTGGGGACATAACCCAGAAGCTAAGATCTGAATGATGAAAAGAGGCCAGCCAAGACCAGGAGGCAGAGGGCAGAGTCAGGACAAAGGCCTCAAGGGGGAAACAGGCTGGGCATGCTCAGGAAACAGAGAAGCTGATGTGGTTATGATGTCAGCGTCAGGGGCCAGTCATGTTGTGCTTTTCAGGCCAGGGTAAGGAGATAGGGTTTAATTTTAATTGAGATGCAAGCCCTAAAATAATTAAGCAGGAGAGTGAAATGATTTGATTTACAATTTGTGAGAGATTGCTTTTTCTGGCCAGTGTGGCTCAGCAGTTGAGCATCGACCTATGATCCAGGAGATCGAGGTTTGATTCCCAGTCAAGGGCAGGTACCTGGGTTGCAGGTTTGATCCCCAGCTCCGTTTGAGGCGCATGCTGAAGGCAACCAATTGGTGTGTCTCTCTCACATTGATGTTTCTCTCTCCCCCTCGCCCTCTCTCTAAAAATCAATGGGAAAAATAGGTGAAGATTAACAAAAGCAAAACAAACAAACAAAAACAAAAGACAGCACCCCAGGGGCCCTGGCTGGGTAACTATGTTGGTTGGAGCATTATTCCTATATACCAAGGTTGCGGGTTCAATCCCCGGTCAGGGCACATATAAGATTCAACCAATGAATGCATAAATAAGTGGAACAACAAATCCATGACTCTATCTATCATCCATCTATCTATCTGTCTGTCTGTCTATCTATCTATCTCTAAAATCAATTTTAAAAAATAAAAATAAAGATCGTACTCCAGGAGGGAGAGCCAGCAGGAGACTATAATATAATAGTGGGGAGCCAGTCTGGGAAGATTCAAAACCTTATGAGCTAGGTCTTTTTGTTCCTGTTATTTCTCAACCTCTGCACTTTACAGATTAGAAAGTCAGGGCCTGAGAGGTAAATAAGTCCTGTTATAAGGGAAGGAAATTCTGACACTAGCACATGAAGATTCTGAGCTAGTGGCCTCCCCACAGGGTCAGGGAAGGCTGTACTGTATCCCCAAGGGCTGAGCACCCACTGATACACATGGTACTAAACCCCTCACGGGTGTATTCCACTTCTCTGAGACTGGGCAGTGAAACCCATCTGCACAGTTTCATCTGCAGTGAAATCAACATTTCTTGTCCCACCCACTACCCAAAGGTTGTCCGCTCTGGACCCCATTATCCCAGCTGGAATCCTGAGCATCATCCCTGACACTTTCCCACGCTTCCCACATTCAATGCGTTCGATCCTGGCCCCATCAATTTTTGTCTCCTAAATATTTTTGGCACCCATCCCCTCCTCTCCTTTCTTGCTGTCCTATTTGGGTTTTTTTTGCTACAGCCTACTGATTCCCTCCAGTCTTTTGTGTCCCCAACATCCTCCATTTAGAATCACAAGTCTGACCCAACATCTGCCTTCAGTGGCTCCTCACTGTCCACAAGGTAGAGCCCAGGCATCCTAGCCTGACAATCAGTGTCCTATGTGTGATCTGGGCCCTGCTGAGCCCCAGTATCAGCTCTCATAGCTTGTCCCCAGACTGCTCACAGACCTGAACTTGCTATGCTCCTCCCTTCACTGGATTCTGCTGCTTCATGTCCTGGCTAACGTCTCATCCTTTAGAGAAGCTCAAATGGCACCTTCAGGAAGCCAACCAGGACACCCCAGACAGGGTTTGGCAGCCCTTCGTTGGAATCCCCAGACACTCTCATTTTCCATCTCTTTGTACATCACACTGTTTTAGAAACAGCTGATGAAGTGTTTTCTCCCCATCAATCTGTGAACTCAAGGGTGTGGGCTGTGTTTTGTTCATTTCTGGACCCCAACACCTAGCACCAGGCCTGGCACACACTATTTTGGTCCTCAGCTAGTGTTTATTGAATGGATAAGTGAGAGAGAATGCAGGACCCATGGACTTGATGGTGCTGGGGGAAGCATAGGAACTACATCTCAGAGTTGTAGGAGCCTGGAAAGGCATCTGGGGAGTTAGGAAGGGAAGATGGTGCTCTGAGACACAGGGCAGTTAATGTCTTGCCCCAGGCACCAGAGGGAAGATTCAAGAACCAGGAAATGGTGACGGGTGGAGTGGGAGTCCACAGGTGCTTTCTTAGCAACTAAACCTGAAAACCCAAATACTTCACCTCTCTGAGCCTCCGTTTTCCCATTTGCTAAATGGTATCATAATTCACACCCACCTCACAGTGTCAGCTGAAGATCAAATGAACAAGTGAATATGAACAAGTTTAGGAAGCTAAGTGCTGCTTGTACAGTTAAGCTTGTTCTAATTTTTACAATGTTAAGACAGTCCCCTAAGAACTCAGTAGACTCCAGAAACAGTTCCCAGCTGCCAGCATGTCAGACAGGAACTTCCCTCTCTGTGGACCGACTCCCTGGGCAAAATCCACTAACAGAAGTAACCCAGCTTAGGGAAACAAATTGCCAATCCAGATGTCCCTAAATCCCAGAGTCACTGTTCCCCTTATTGCTCAAATAATAATCCCTGAGCTCCCACCCTGTAGGTTGTCCCTTCCCAAGGAATACTGGCTCCAGTCTATTACACAAGTACTATGTGGAGATGCTAGACATCAAATGTTTTCCATGCTTTATTTCATTTGTTCCTTATATGATTAGCTCCATTTCATACATGAGAAAATTGAGACTTGAAGATTAAGTGATTTGTCCAAGGACACCACTAAATGGCAGAGCAAACTCAGAATAACATCTGTGTGATTCTGAAATTCACTCTTAACCAGTGTGCTGCCCCACCTCTCTGCTTCTGAGCATGCCCAAGGTCTACTTCAATGTTTCACAGACCTGTCTGGTTATCACTCTTCCCTTCAGTCAGCCATGTGGTCATAAATGTTCCTATAATATTGGGGTCTGGTCTCATTTAGGGGTTGAATTGTTAGAAAGTTACATTCCCCAGCTGGCAAACAGTAGAGAACAAGCTAGGAAGTTGGGGAGTTTCCTACGGACAGTCTCAGAAGGTAGTGAGTTCTCCATCATCTGGGCTACACACACAGAGAACTAATGAGACTTGTCAAGATCTTGGAGACTCCTATTCCCAGTCTGGGACTGTTTAGATGACCTTACATGTCCCCTCTGAGTCAAAGACTCAAATTCTCAATTGTTAGCACAGGCATTTAAATCCCTCAGCGTTTCTTGCATTTTATCCCGTTATGTATTGTGTTTTCCATGATTATTTCGGAGACAGGCACTCTCAGAGAAAAAGCTGATTTCCTACATATGTTAAGTATACAAACATTTGGTACTTTGGTTAACACATGGATTTAATTCTCTCACCCAAACCTATAATAAAAGGCCACCATTCATTTAATGGCTATAATAGTAGGCATAATATTGAGTTCCTGCTTTACACTGGGCACAATATATATATCATCCCCCATACTCAAAACAATCTCATAAGGTAGATACTATAATTTCCATCTTATCAGAAGGAAATTGAGCCCAGCTGGCGTGGCTCAGTGGGTGAGCATTGATCTATGATCCAGGAGATCTCGGTTTGACTTTCTGGTCAGGGCACATGCTGGGGCTATGGGCTCGGTCCCCTAGGGGATGTGCAGGAAGCAGCTGATCAATAACTCTCATCAATGATGTTTCTCTCTCTTCCCCTTTCCCTTCCTCTCTCTGAAATCAATAAAAATATATTTAAAAAAAAGAAAAGGAAATTGAGGCTAAGAAAGGAATCCTGCCCACAGTCTCCCAGCAAGAAGGTGGCTGAGCTAAGTTTTGAACCCGAGTCTATGTGGCCCCAAAGCTCATACTCTACCGCCCAGATGCATGGGCTAAATTTTATCCCACAATGACTCATAAAATCTCACAGTCAGAAGGGCCGTAAAGGCTGATCTCCACCCAGTACAGGAATCTCCCATATATGGTTATCCGATTTCTGCTCAAGTACTGCCCACAGCGGAGACTCCACCACATCACAAAACAGTCCCCCGCATGGTTGGAAAGTTCCTCTGCTTTGAACTGAGGTCTTCTGAGCAGCTTCCATTTCTTGGGGGGTTCCCACTAACTCCAAAGAACTCAATGGAGAAATGACTCAACAGTAGCAGGAGGGAAATCTAAATGAGC